TTAAGTTTTTCTTGGTCATGAAGAATTAAAGAAACTCCTTTATTTGATGTGGCTTTTATTTCATTGTTGCCAAGAATCTGAAGTCATATTGGCTTCCCATAGATCAGCAATTTCTGACAGGAATTAATATCAATCATTAACATATCCATGTTAATATAGAAACCAACATACAGGGGTTTTATCACAGTAAAATTCGTCTTGGACATCTCAGCGTGGATCCACATGGAATGTCTCAATTTTATTTTGGAATGTGTCCATTAGAATAGAATTTAAATAACAAAGGCTGTATTTATCTGTCCCATATATGCAGAGATGCATTTAAAGCTGGCAGGTTTGGGAGGTCTGTCTGTCACAGGGCCCATATGAATCTTCCCTTCCAGCCAAAATATCCAGGCACCTAAAAAGAAAGAAAATCATTTTGAAAAGAATCTTGAGGAGTAAATTAGAAAGGATAAATATATTGGGGTGTTAATCTAGTTTATAAAATAAAAGTCTCTCTGTTAAATATATAAATAACAACTCTCTCTAAATTCAAACTTGCTCAGCCAGGAAGTACAACTGGAACTGTCATGTTGAGAAACTTGATTTTCATTTTGCTGATCTGTTCTATGTCTCATGTGGCAAAAGCCTCAAATGGGTATCACAAGTACTATTTCTACTCCACCAATCATGCTACTGAACAGCAGAACACCTCATCTAAGCACAGACAGTACCATAAAGAGTGACTGTGTTTATCTCAGATTCCAGGTTTGAATAGGAACAAGTTAGAATGCTTTGAGTTCTTAAATCTATCCCTAACAAAATCTTCTAGTCATATGCTGCTTACTGCGATGTCTTCATACAGTAAAAACAGTGGATGTAGAACAAATCACTTGCTTGAACATTTTCGAAGATTTGTCACGTGATTGCATTAAGAACTGGTCTCAAAATCACACTGTAAAACATAACCAAGATTCATTATTTGTATATTTAGTTAATTTGAAAGTCTCTTCATTTTGGTGTACAGTAAAATCAGAATATTTCAAGAACTAGTAAAATGCTTGAGCAATACAAAGTTATGATTTTATTTGATTCTCGTTTTTAGTCGACAATGTCTGGCTGTATGGTTTTGTAATTAAGGCAACCATTTCCTGATAATTAATAAGAACAATAAATTTGTATTTTGCAGGACCTTAAGTTATTTTATCAAAATTTGATTAAAAATGAACAGAAAATAATTGTAATTGGAGATTCAGGTATACTGATATTCAAATTATCAGAGTCATAACCTATTTCATGAAAACCTACTGTATTCAAATAACTACAGCAATACAAATGGGCTAGCAATTATTTCCTCAAGTTTTCAAGGATTTTTGCAATTTCAGGGCTATATTTTATGTTATTCTCTTCCTGTATGCAATCCTTAAGTTTCATGTTTGTTATTTTTTTTCCTAAAAATCCCTTCAGACTTTTCTTCATAAGAGCACCTATACATTTGTACTTAAACCTGTAGAACTGTACCTAAGAACATGTACCTTGTATATCTGTACATAAACTTGACAGTCACTGGTTTTTTGAAATCTTATATGTTGGCCTTAAATTTAGAATTTTTAAACCGGTCTTCAGACTCACAAATATGTGATCAGTTATACATGCTATGATTTTTTTTTTTTTTTTTTGCTATGAAATTTTGCAGCCACAGTTACTGGGAGCATAGGAGAAAAATCGAATTCAGCAATGCTTGGGAAGTGCCTGATGGATATCTGAAATTATGCTAGCAGTGCTTCTTTTGGATTCAGTTGAGAGGGTGAGTGCTCTCTGTGCTGCTAGGAGCTCTGTGTGTGTTGCCACAAGAAGGGTTTGCACTGCCAGTGCGACTGACGCTACCCAGAACAAGTTGGGCTCCTTCCCTGATGCTGAGCTTGGAGAGAGCCAAGCGACCCTGCAGTATATCAAGCTCTTGGTGACTGTCTCACATGTGACCTGTGAGATTTTCAAGGTTCAGTCTTGCAAGACTTAAAGGAGTATGGTCCAGAAAAACAGGATGATGCTGGATTTCTTTTTTTTTTTTTTTTTATCCCCCAAAGCCTGACATTAAAAGAATTCATCTGGAAAGTGGCGATAACCAGGTTTGGATCCCAGCTGTGCAAAAGGGAGGGTATAGTCCCTAGTATTGGAGTTGAGTGCTTTTTTCAAAGAGGTTATTGATAGATCCAACTCTAGGACTATTAACTACTCTTAACTATTCCTTGCTTCCTTCTTTTTAGTATTTTGTGCTTGGTTTAGGCACTCATCTCACGGCTCTCCTTCCCATCCCAAGTACTTACTTGCCTGAATTTATTCTTTCATGACCTAAGTTACCACCAGGGCAGATGGGAACTGGTGAACCTTAGTTCAAGCTGGGGACTATGTACAGCAACAAATAAATCTTTGCTCTAAGTCGGGCCCTGTGCATGGTGTCCTGTCCTTTCAAGGCAAGAGACTGTAAATGCATATAACTAGTAAAAAAGGCAAATTACAGATCTAAGTGAGGCTTTGCTGTTGTATCTGTGTGACTTCCCAAGGCTCTAGCTATGTGTTTGTGTTTCAGTGTTAGTTCATCCAGTGCTTTTTTGAACTGTGCAGAATGTTGGTGTATGGTTGTGACAAGGCTACACAAAAAGGTATTGCGCCTCAGTTTTTTTCATCTGTATCAGAACTCCTGTATCAACATAAAATGCCACGCTTCACTTTGATTCTGTAGCACATTTTGGGAGAAGTCACCATGGCTTCCAGATAGTCTTACTTGCGGCATAGGTGCTTGTTCCAGCAGCTCAACACCTGCACAGCTGCTTCTGTGTCGCTGCAGAAGATTGTTAACATGCAGCACATTAGGGTATGAATTAGCAGACTCACTCGGGAATGGGAGGGAGGAAAATCTGGGGAATGATGATTAAACATGGATTAAAAACAGTGGGGGGG